CACCAGGGCCCAGTCTCGGGACATGATCTGGGAGGCCCTGCAGCTGAAGGTGCATTAAGCACCAGCCTCTGGTCTCAGCCAGGTTCCTGGGACCTGGTCTTGCCTTGCCCCTTGCCTAAATCTAGCCAGAGAAGGGAAAGCAGAGGCAGCCGTGAGCCAACCTCCCAGAACCCATAGGGAAAGGCAAAGTTAGCCCCTCTTCCTTAAGGCATAAAGTGAAGCTCGGATATGGGTGACGGTGTACCCGGGGGTGGGACTGTGTGTGTGGGGTCCCAGGTAACAGGCCTCCAACCTGGGCCTCTTGTTCCCAGACCATCATGGAAGAGCCAATGGTCTTGAAGCTGGTGGAGCCCGCCCTGCCCTGCCCCCGCCTGGCTCAACCCTAGCCTCCCCCCACCCCCCGCCCTGCCCCCACACTGCAGCCTCCCGCTGGCTGGCTTTGTCCTGCTGCACTTTAATGAGGCCTGGGGGTTGGGGGGGGCATTGGGTGTCATGGAGGAGTCTCAGGTGGGGGGGCTGGGCAAGTCAAGGGCCTTGGCACCCCGCTGTGGTCCCAGAGAGGGTGAAGCACAGGGTCCACATAGCAGCTGGCCTGCAGGCTGGCGGGTTCAGGTTCACGGAGCTGTGGCTGCGGCCTGTGGTGGGCACGGCCAGCTCCGGAGGCTCCCTGTCGTTCAGGACACAGGGCCACTCTCTTTCATCTTCTTACCTGGCAGGAAAGGGTGGGTTAGTGACTGGGTCCCAAACCCAGTGCCCTCACCCTGTCTGTCCTCCTCACCCCACTGGAGGCGCCGATGCGGTCACTGAGTGCCGGCTGTGTATTTGGGCTTTATGTGCACTGACCCACAGTAGCTCGTGGCCACAAGAATTATGACATCCATTTCACAGAGGGGGAAACTGAGGCTCAGGCATTTTGAGTATTTTGCCCTTGGGGAGGAGCTAGTTTGGCTCAGAGCTGGAATTAGAACCTAGGACTGGGGACTCCTGAGCCAGGCCTCTTGTCCCCAGCCAAGCTTGTCCAATAGTGCTTTGAAGCTTAGAAGTCAGTCACCAGATCCCGGTGTTCTCTCGACCTTGGTCCTGGCAGGTTCTGTTGGCCACGCGGGGACTTTTCTTCTGCACAGAAGCTTCTTCCAGAATCTCTTCACCTATCTCAGCTGAACAAGTGTGAGTAGGGTTGCTTGGGGGAGGGCGGAGAGGGACTGGGGGCTGGGGGAGGCCTGTGCTGACCTGCAGCCAGGAGGCCTGCAGTGAGGCAGGAGCACAGGCTGCAGACAGAGCTCTGCCAGAGCCCCTGCGCGGGCCTGGCTGGCACCTGCCCAGGGAAGGTTCACAGAGGAAGGAGGCACCCTTCCAGAATCACTTCCTGGGGGTCTGGAGGGTGGTGGTGCTACCCACCGGCTGTTAGAAAAAAGGCTCCAGCAATATTTCTGTAATCACAATGCAGAAAGGTCACCCGCTGTCTCCCCTTCCCTCCCAGATTCTCCAGAAAATCCAGATGAACAGATGAGGACAGTGTCCCGGCAGGTTGTAGAGAGACGAGCATCCATCGGTGCCCACCGTCTGGACCGACGTCCTGAAGCCTAGGAACGTGGCCCCTGCTGCCGCCGGCCCCCAGGCCACAGCCCGCTACTGGACAGTCCTCACTTATTCCAGAGGTGTAGAAAGTGGGGTTATTCCCAGCTGAGCGAATCTCAGTTTTGAACTAAAGATCTCTCTCCTGTTTGGCTCCGTGGATAGAGCGTCAGCCTTTGGACCAAAGGGTCCCAGGTTCGATTCCAGTCAAGGGCATGTACCTTGGTTGCGGGTAGGGGGATGTGTAGAAGGCAGCTGAATCGATGTTTCTCTCTCATCGATGGTTCTAACTCTCTATCCCTCTCCCTTCTCCTCTGTAAAAAATAAATAAAAAATATATATATATTTTTTAAAAAAAGATCTCTCTCCTGGCCTGAGGAAGCCTCTTCCAGGCTTTGACCTGAGGGCACTGCAGCCTGCCACGCCCCCAGGTTCTGAACACAGACAGAGAGAGGATGGAATCCCGGGACCTGGGGTTTGAGCACGTGCTGCTAGTTTAGGAGACTTCACAGCGGACACTGGGGCTGTGGGGACCTGCTTCAGGCATGAACAGCCATGTCCACTAGACCACACATCCCCAAAGAAACAGCTTGAAAGCTCCGCACACGTGTCATTCATCCAGACCAGGAGCAAAATGCACTTAAAATTTGGACTGGAAACAACTGGACCAAGAAGAACATAAAATAGTGCAGAATGCTCGGCCGGCGTTGCTCAATGGTTAAGCACCCACCTATGAACCAGGAAGTCATGGTTTGGTTCCCATTCAGGGCACATGCCTGGGTTGTGGGCTCAATCCCCAGTAGGGGGCATGCTGGAGGCAGCCGATCAATGATTCTCTCTCATCATTGATGTTTTTAAAAAAATATATATTTTATTGATTTTTTACAGAGAGGAAGGGAGAGGGATAGAGAGTTTAGAAACACCGATGAGAGAGAAACATCTTCTCAGCTGCCTCCTGCACACCCCCTACTGGGGATGTGCCCCCAACCAAGGTACATGCCCTTGACTGGAATTGAACCTGGGACCCTTCAGTCCGCAGGCCGACACTGTATCCACTGAGCCAAACCGGTCAGGACGTCATTATTGATGTTTCTATCTCTCCCTCTCCCTCTCCCTTCCTCTCTGAAATCAATAAAAAAAAATATTTAAAAAATAGTGCAGTTTGTGTTTAATCTTCTAGTCGCGATTTTACTCAGAAGCAGCCTTTAATGCATGGCAGCAGGACCCTGAGGGCCACCCTGTGGTGATGGCGCCCAGTCCCTCTGTCTTCACCCTGCGGGAAGAAGGCCCTGCAGGCTGAGGGCGGGTGCCCCATGCAGGCCACGGGGGTTCGGAGCCCCAGCTTTGACCCCCCCAGGTCGTGCTGGACAACCGCACTGCTTGGTATAGGACAACATATGCTTGTTCCCACAGGGCTGTTCTCTCTGCTTTCTTTGCAAGGACTGCCCTCTACTCTTGACGTGAGGGACAAAAGGTGTCTTTAGGTGGCGCTAACAGGCCTTTGCATTTTCCAGGAGCCCTTCAGCTGGCGCCCAGCACACTGGCCGGTTCCAAGTTTTGCTCTGGTTCCTGGTGGTTTGGGGCCCCCCCTAGAAAAGCCCGTTGAAGATGTAGCCTTGCGGTGGGAGGAGGAAGCCGGGCTCACTCCTTTCTCTCCAAGTGTAAGTCGCAATCAGCTGTGATGAGAGACATAGGCAAAGAGAAGAGCCGGGTGCTCAGACCTGAGCTGGCTCAGGGGGTTGGCTTGAACATTCGGCCAGGGTTTCGGTAGCTAATCCTCAAAAGGTGACAGTTTACAAATATTGTAACTCTGGAAATAACTTTCCAGTGAAATTCGAGTTCTTCAGTGTTGGCAAGGAGGCACTTTGCACCAGATGAAGAGGCCGGGTCTTCCCACACAGTGTTGGGAAGGAGGCACGCGGAGCTGCTTTGCAGGGGACGCTTGGGAGGCGTGCAGACCCCACCCCCTTTGGGTGGCCCTCGGAGGGGCTTCATCTAGGCCTGTGGCATGGAAGCCCCTTATCTGCAACAGGGTCTCCCTGCGTCCCGTTGAGGTTAAAAGGCTGGGTCACCAGTTCAAGTCTCCCCTTTTCACCTGCCATTTCTGAATGCTCCTTTTTTAATCCTCACCTGAGGATATGTTTTCATTGATTTATTTAGGATGAGAGAGAGAGAGAGAGAGAGAGATTGATGGGTTGCCTCATGTATGATCAAACCCACAACCTGGGTATGTGGCCTGACCAGAAATCGAACCCACAACCTTTTGGTGCACGGGACGAAGCTCCAACCAACTGAGCCACCCAACCAGGGCTGAGTTTTTTGGGTTATTTTTTAACGTATTGCAGGGAGGGAAGGCCCAGCCCCTGTTTGTTTCATGCTTCCAGCAACATGCACAGGCGGCCTGAGGCGCCCAGGGCACCTGTGCTGGGAAGGCGGGAAGTGAAGCCCCCAGGGCCCTGCCAGCGAGGCCAGCCCGGTGTTCCTGGCTGGACCACAGCATGACAGCCGGGCCAGTGGGACTCCGGGGAGGAAGGAAACCCGTCCCGCTTATTCCGTCTTGATTTCTGGGGAAGGGTTCTCCAGCAAACCTTGTTGCCAGGAAAAACACCTCTTTTTCTCTGAATAAACATTCTGGCTCCGTTAACCAATACATTTGGGTTCTCTATCAACCCATCAATGACCGGGAGGTCTTTATAAACAGAGGGATGGAAGGAAGCTGAGGAGGACTCCGAGGGATGGATGTAGTGAGGCCCCAGGCTCCCCCAGAGGGAGACAGATGGCAGCGTCTGGAGCTGGAAGGGAGGTGGAAGGTCCCCGTGGAGCCCAGATCCTCTGCCCCCAGCTGGTGTCAGGGCCTCCAGTGGCCGGTCAGGGGGTGAGACAGTGTCGAAGTTCAGAAAGCCCTTAGATCAAGCGTCCAGCGTCCCTTTATGCAGTTAAGGAACCAGGCCCAGAGCAATGCTGAGACCTCCCCAGACCGCATGGCAAGTTCATGTTTCGGCTGGAACTAGAATCCAGGTCTGAGTTCCGGCCGGCACTCAGCCTGTGACACCAGACCCATTCTGGAGCCTGGTTTCCTCTCTGGGGCATCGAGAGCAAAATGGAGACTGCTCTGCTGGGGTTTCCCAGTGGTTAGAGCACTGGCCCCACGGACTGAAGAGTCATGGGTTTGATTCTCAGTCAAGGGCACAATCCCAGCCCCAGTTGGGGTGTGTGCAGGAGGCAACCAATTGATGTGAGTCTCGCACATCGATGTCTCTCTCTCTCTCTCTCTCTCTCTCTCTCTCTCTCTCTCTCTCCAAATCAAGGAAAAAGTATCCTCGGGTGAGCACTGACAACAAGACTGGATACTGCTGCAGACAGAAAGCCACACGGGCTCCTGCCTGCAGACAGGAGCTGGGCCTTGCCCACATCTCCGCTGTTACCTGTGGTTGGGTTCAGGGTCCGAGAAGCGGGCGCCTTGAGGAAAGGCGGTGGCTTCCTGTACAGATCAAAGTCCCGATGGCGCTGGTCCCAGCTCCACCTGTCTCGGTCCAGCACAGGCCTCATCACGTTAGCAAACAGTGCGTTTTCCCTCCACTCCTAAGTCGGGAAAAGTGATTTAGGGGGAAGGCCCCTGTGGACGCCCCTCCCCCTCCCTGACACCCGGCTCCTCCCTGGGGACCTCGGTCAGCTCTGTGGTGGCGCCAATGGGCAGCAGGTCCAGGTGGTGGTCGCTCTCAGTGCTCTTATGAAGACCTATCACTCGGAACCCATTGGTTGTGAGCCAGGCCTGGCGGGACTTCTCCTTGGCTTTTTTCTCCTCTTCCTTTAAGTTCCGAGTCTCCACCATGGCTGAGAGGAAATGCTGTGAATACGTGTATCTTTTCCATGGCTCCTGGAAATGAGGGGCAAACGTGTGAATGGAAGTGGGGGTGGGGGCAGACTTGGATGGGGCTGACTCGGCCTCAGGTTTCCAAGCAGATGTCAGACACCTCGAGGGCACAGGGACAGTATTTGACAGATGCCCTGAGCTGGGCAGCGGCCCTGGGAGTGTCCCATCTGTGTTTTGAAATGAGTAGCCCTAGTCTAAATGCACCGTGTGCCGAAAGCCTAGCTCTAGACCAGCGGTTCTCAACCTGTGGGTCGCGACCCCTTTGGGGGTCGAACGACCCTTTCACAGGGGTCGCCTAAGACCATCGGAAAACACATATATAATTACATATTGTTTTTGTGATTAATCACTATGCTTTAATTATGTTCCATTTGTAACAATGAAAATACATCCTGCATATCAGATATTTACATTACGATTCATAACAGTAGCAAAATTACAGTTATGAAGTAGCAACAAAAACTATTTTATGGCTGGGGGTCACCCCAACATGAGGAACTGTATTAAAGGGTTGCGGCATTAAGAAGGTTGAGAACCACTACTCTAGACTTAGCCTTCAGGGTGACGGCTGCTTTTCCGGGGCAGCTGCCACCTTCTCCCGGAGGCGAGGGACCCGCAGTGGTTGGCAGCTGTGAACATCTGCCTTGAGGACCTCTTGGCTCACCCCTGCACGTGGAGGACTCACACGTAGTGTGGGAACAGAACACCTCTCCCAGCGCCCAGGCCCTTGCTTCCTCCCCTGGCTGGTTGGCTCTCACCCACACACCAGATCTCCTGCTGAGCTCCAGGCAGGTGGGCAGAGAGGAGAGAGTTCATGGGGATCAGGCAAAGGCTGCTATCCTGCCCGGAGTATAAAGCACATGGCTGCTTCCCCGCTCTCTGCGCCCTCTCACTCACCTTGTTCATCTCACTGTACAGCTTCTTCTTGACCAGCTCTGCGAGTTCAGGGCCTGAGTGCTGTAGTTGTACACATCCTCTGTAGCAGGGATCGAGCCCCGAATCACCCTCACAATGGGCTTTGGGGACTTCCTGCTCACCTGGTAGGCTTTACTGATGTTTTTCTGAAGACAAGAGACACCAGGCATTACCTGCTCAGGGCCCCTCAGCACCAGCCGCCTGCCTGGAGTAGGCCCCAGGCCACGGCTGCAGTGCAGGCATCGGTTCCCGAACACGGGAGCTGGCGTTTCATCACAGACCCTGCCCCAGGGCCATCCAGCCCGGCCCCTTACTGTCTACAGTGGAACTCGCTGGACCAGGCACGTGGCACTGGCCCAAGGTCACTGGAACTGGGACACATAGCACTTGGCAGAGTTTACAGCTCAGACGGTCAGGTATGGGAGAGGTAGGAGGCTTGCGCGGTATATACAGGGAGCCATGAACTAAAGCAGCAAGGACCACCCTCCTTGACCGCGGCTGTATGCATGGGGGTATCAGCCTCTTCTCTCCACAGCCTCAGGATGGTCTGTTGGCTTCCTTTGTGAATAAAAACAGCAAGTACCATAGGATTTCACCCCTGTATGGGATCTAATGAACAAACTGACCTAACAGGCAATGTGGAGACAGACTCACAGACAGAGAGCAGGCTGACAGCTGTCCGGAGAGAGTGGGTAAGGTTGGATGTGGAAAGGGGTGGGATTGAGCAAAAAAGGGAAAAAAATAAAAAATAATAAAATGAAATAAAAATCCAGTTCATTTCTAGTTATAAAAGCAGTTACAGAGATGTGAAGTACAGCCAATAATATTGCAATAACTGCGTATGGTGTCAGATGGGTACGACACTTACCCGGGTGATCCCTTCATAAAGTATACAAATGTCTAATGACTTTGTTATACACCGGAAAGTAGCATAATATTGTATACCCACTATAGTTGAAAAATAAAAACATCAAAAGAAAATAGCAACGAAGAAAGAGACAAAAGGCGAAACAGAAGGTTTCAGAGGAGAAAGGTGGCTAGGACCCAAAAAGACAACGAGGAAGAGTTTTACTCTAAATTGCTAAGTGCTGGGCAGCACAGCTTGTCCTTCACTTGCCTAGCAACCTTCAGCAAAAGAACTATCTTTTGCTTAAAACTTTTTTTTTAACTCAAGAAGGTTAAAAAAAAAAGTGGCCTTGTTAGTTTGCACACTCCTAAGGGACTTGTTGTTTGAATAGAGATTGGTGTGGGGATGTGGTCGGTGGCTTCTTACACACAGACCACAAGTGAGGACTTCGAGTCCCACCTTGGATGCTGGTGTTTTGTATTTTGGTTGGTGTGGGGTGAAGGCAGTTCTTGTTGGCCATTTAGGCCCCACAGCAGCCAGCCTCCTGTTGCCTCACCAGCTTCTCAGTCTCCTCTCTCTTCCTTTTACATTTCCTCATGCCCATTTACTTTATCTCCTGTGTTGCTTGGACACTCGATAACATGCCCTTAGCAACTTGAGATGTCACACACACACACACACACACACACACACACACACACGACAGTTCTTCCTCAAAGATGGACTCTGGGGCCAAGGTAAAGAGCTTTCCTTGTCGCCTTTCAGGAGGACGGGGTGTGCCAGGCTATGAGTGAGTGCCTTTGGGGTGGGCCAGCCCTGCACCTGGCACATCCTGCCCATCCCGCCTGGGATCCCAGGGCAGGAGAGTAGGTACAGGCCAGAGGCAGATGCCCCATTCGGGATGTGGCCACCTGCTCTATGTCTCCCAGCATGCGACCGGACAGCCCAGGTGGGGCCAAGGCCTGGCACCCCTGACCGCAGAGCGGAGCGGGTGCCCACCTGGATCAGATTGCGAGTCTCGTATCTTTTCTTCATCACACTGTTCCGCCACTGCAGGTACTTCTCCTGGTGGGCGAGGATCTCAGTGTTGAGGGTGGATTTCCGACTTCGCAGGTCAAGCATGGAGGTGGGTTGAGGTGGGGTGGCCAAAAGTTTCTTGTTGTCGATGAGTTCTTTTAGGGAAATGGGCAAGCCAAACTCCTGGCTCAAGTGCTTGATCATGGTGGAGGAAGGCAGCAGGTCTCGGGTGATCACCTCCCTGAGCTTGGTGCTGTAATGGCAGATGCAGTAGATCCTGGAACACAGAAGGGCCACCCTCCTCAGGCTCACCTGCCTTGCGAGACAGGTCAAACCATCCCCACTTTACCGGAGGAAAGGACAGCTCG